TGTGAGTTTTATTTTTTTTTCTGTGAGTTTTATTTGCTATTTTTCTGTGAGTTTTATTATTATTATTATTATTATTTTATAAAGTGGGTTTTATTGATAATGTTTGAATGTGTTAAAATTTTATGTTCTTTAATTCCAAACAAGAAAACTAAATAACAACTATTTTATAGCTGGTGAAAATATTAAAAACTATTACTAATCAATATTCAAACATTACATTAATTTATACAATTTATCATTGTTGTTCCGTGCATCCCACTGACTACATACTAATTTATTCTAAATTTGATAAAGATAAAATGCAATAGAGTTAAATAAAATTTAAAAGTAAATAAAAATTAATATTTTTGTTAGTATATGTTGGTTTGTCATTACTTAAATATTTGGGAAAATTCCATCTTAAGGCCTAGATTTTATCGTGTCAAATTGATATTTTTTAATATATTGGTGGCATGGGTATTTTTCAAGTTAAATTTGGAGGTTTACTTTTATTTTCTTTATATTATAATGCAATTATTTAAACTCTGGTTGAGAAAATATTAAAAATCAAAACCCAAATTAAGAATTATAAATTTGGGTCATAATTTCACACAAGAAGTAAAATCTAGAGCTTATGATGAAATTTTCCCAAGACATGAGAGAAAATATGCTACTAAGTACTAAATGAGGAATTGCTTCACAAAATAAGTTTTACAAACGGAAATTGCTAGCCGGATGATATTCTTCTATATAAGCAAGTGAAAAAGGGATAGATCCTCATCCTAACGTTGGATTTCCAAAAATAGAGGACACATCTTAATATCGAGCCATACTCAGAGAGACAAAAAGATAACAAACCTTTTTAGGCATTGTCCAGCCATATTCTGGAGACCAATCTAAAGATGGACGCACATCCTTGAGTTTAGCCACATAAACTTCACCTTCGCCATGTGGTGGTGGTTTTAGCTCAATCTAAAGAAGTCACCCCCAAATTAAGTAAAGCTTGATTAAAGCTAACGACTGATATCATAGTCACACCAACACAATATATTCTTCTAAAACTTTGAAGAAAACATTTCAGAGTAATCACTAAACGACTGTTTTCAACGTCAGAGAACATATGTTTTTTCTTCAATGACGACCAAAGAACAAAAGAAACAATAGACTTGTATACAGTAAAAGTGCCCAATCGGCACCCTTAGATATGTGGGATCTCAATTATTGACAGCCACTAGGAAATCTTTATCTTATATTAGTTTTTAACAGTGTTTTATCGTGATGCAATTTCAAGAAGCCCACCAAATGAATTATGCTACTTTGATATCACTAACTAGATTATTTATCAATAAAAGTTGAAGAATGCCATTTTAGAATCAGCATGTGACTCTGATTTCTCATTTCAAGGCATGACATTCTTTCTATGACAACAAAATCCAGAAATTGAAAATTATAATAATAATATTACAGGTAGCCTAAGAAAATCTATTAGCATGTATTTTGATATAAAAAAAACCCAAACAATTTCCAATCACTTTTCACCAATCACATTTTCCAATTCAAATTTAACTCGCATAATTTTAGTTACTCATCATTTTAAGTCACTTCTCTCCTACTTTAAATCAAATCAACTTTAATCATTTTATTTAAATATTATTTTAATACAAACTCAAAATCCCACTGAAACCTAACTCAACCAACTTTTTCAAAATTAACTATGGTTAACTACAAAAACCAATCAAAACCAAAATATCCCAATCACAAACTTATATCCAAGCATACCCTTACTGTTTCCGTGATATTTTCCCTCTTTTTTCTATTCCAGAAAACTCGGAAATTACTNCCTCAGCTTTTCCATCACCCAGTAACTGAGTTATTGTTCCACTCCAATAACAATTTTCGCTCCTCCAATCCACAAGATCTCCCACCTTCCATGAGCCATCAAAAATTACTGACACCTCTGAAATTGCACTAGCATGAAGCCTTTTCTTCGCATTATAAATTGGCGGGTAACATGGCCGCAGCATCAATTCTTTATATTTTTTTGAGGTCACCTGATATAGCTTCAACCATGTTGGCTCTGCAGAAAGCAACAAGATAGAAATTGACTCCTCAAGTTAATCATATCACGGAAATTATACAATAGTAGAAAAAATAAATGCTATCATTTGACTACAACTGTCTAATTCCTAGTTATAATCTTCTATCATTCTCACATCTGACTCCTTGCTTCAAGGCCACAAAAATATAAAATGGGAAAATTGAAGGAACAACTTCCAATATTTGCTTATGTGCTTCTGCCACTTTATAATCCCAACACCCAGTAACTACAACTCTACTTTATAGATATGGGCAATCTTGAGATAAAGATCGGGATGTTAACCATAATGTTTTAAAGTTAGAATAAGGAGTACAAATAGAACCCTCAATCCGTGAGCATAAGCATGAATTACTTGGGTATATCTTAGCATGATATACAAAATAGATATCAAAAGGCAGCACTAAAAGGTGTACATAAATTTCTAATTGTTTTTTCTCAATCCATAGTCCGTAGTGTTTTAAGACTGGTCACATTATTTGCTTTTTTTATTGCGTTTTTTTGTGTTTAGTTAAAAAAAAGAAAATGTTTACATAGTGTTGGCCTTGCATATGTACAGTATTGCAAGTTGCTCTTACCAAATATAACATAATTTACTCACTCTAATGTCTTATTGCAGAANAAAAAAAAAAAAAAAAAAAATCAGTCTCATTGAGTAAAATAATCCATCATAAATTCATTGGGTTGGAGAACCAAAATTTTTCAAAAGTTTAGGTGGTTTATGAATATAATATACACATGAATGCTCCTCTTTTATAACAGATAGATAGGATTTCTCAAGGCTCAGCACCTCCAGGACATGAGCAAGTCTGCTAACCACTGCGGGTGAAAACATAATCTATCTAAATGCTAAAATCACCATATAACATAATCCGAATACTAGTCAACTACTGGAAATGTATGCATGATCTCACTTCAATACTCGAACAATTTACTGGTCTGTATAGTAAAAGCTTAGCTTTGTTACAAACTTATTTCCATTTGAATGAGAATCATGTTTAATTAAACATGTTTATGTTCTGTTCATCATGGATGACGAAAGATAATATTATCGATTCCTTGTAAAACTTAAAGTTTAGATAGAATTGAACAAACTATCGGGAACAGTTGTAGAGTAATTTTGGAATTGGATGGTCTTTGACTAATAAATTACACTAGTGCACTTAAAAGTGTATTAAGAGTGTATTGAACAGGCTCGTGTGGATTAGTTTATTTTATACTCATCAAATAAATATACAAAATAAACTAGACTAGACCTCGGCTATTACTTGTTCGCTTAATCCGTATGATAATAACAAACAAGTGTACTCAGTAGATATTTCTTTGATTCATTTTCATTAAAAAAAAAAAAGAAAAAAAGAAAAAAAAAAGAGATTTATTCTGCTAAGTCAATGGATGAGTTGGGAAATAATGTTGTTTGTGTGGGTGTGTTATTCGATTATTTATGGATATTGTTTGCTGTTGCGCCAGTTTGATGATGTCCACGAAATGAGCTAAAAAATGATTATTATACCAAGCCCTGAGATAGAATTCCGGTACAATAATAAAAAATTAATTGGTACTATTTTCTGAACATTAAGTTAATTAATAATATTATCAGTAATTAATTAACAAACATTATATCTTAAATGTAATAATATGGGGAGATAAATCCAGTAGATTAATATGAAACCTCAAATATAATTTGAGGGTTAAATAAGACGTTAAATATTCATGGGTAATGAGTGTAAGTGGACCAAAACCTAAGTTGCTCGTTCACATGAGAAGTCTTTATTTAACACCTCCTCAAAGTCCTTGCTATAACCTATAAATACACCATCCCCTTAATGATTTCGCCCCCCTTTTCACATACAAACACAGTGAGTTTTACTTGTGAGAGAAAAATTAAATGTCTCAGAGTCTGCGAATTTTAAACCGTAAGCATTCAATCCTAATCTTTAGATCAGTGAGCTTAGGGTTAATTCGTAGACAATTCGAACTAGTACAAGTGTCTTCACCGAACCCAACACTATTATCATGAAGTATTTAGAATAGAACTTCCAGAGAGGGAAAACCATTCAAAACATAATTCTCTTGAAATAAATATGGGGGGAAGCCTATACATCAGCAAATACATCACAAACTACTATAAATCATGTGATATTAAATTATTACAAGTAATACATATTATATTGCAACAGCTCTAATATATATTGCAACAGATATATCACAAATTCTGAAATGTCTCAAGTAAAGGGAACTACAGTGACTTACTATCATCAACGTAGTCATAATATTTTAAATGGACACGTTCAATGCGCCCATTTGTCTCACAAACCCCTGTAATCTGCTTTTAGAAAACAAAGATTTGTGTAAATACAGACAATTTTGGAAAAAGTAAATAGTTATACTTAGGAAACAAAGAACACTGAAACACAGCACACACACATACATATATGTATATATATCTATATCAAATGACCAGAGTTCATATCTTATAAAGGCTGCAATTGGTTTCCCGTACAGTATAATCACCAACATTGTTATGCAACAAAAAACCAAACAGAAAAAAGCAGATCCTTTTCAAGATTGACAGAGAAACCAAATTAATCAGCCAATCCGTTAAGACTCACAATCAGCAATATGAAGTCTGTCAGAAAACATATAAAAATACAATGTATTGTGCAGAAACTCTTACCATCTAATATTGGAATCCCGTTGAAAATAAATATTCCAAAGGATACCACAGAAATGCCTGTTCACCGCTACCTCTTTTTCTCTAAAGGAACTACACTGTAATAATATGTGCTGAGGCTATGCTTTGAAAAGAAAATCCACAAAGTACAAAGTCACAGTACCAAAGAGAGAAATCCATCCAAGAGTATACTCAAGTGCACAGGTTCAAGGCATGAAAAACGAGATATACTTTCCACAAAAATATGAGTTTCACAATCTACATCTGTACATTACCTTGCACCGAAACCACGCACCACGAAAACCTTGCTCAAAAGACCTTGCTTCAGCCAATTGTCCAACTTCCCAAGTTAGATAAGTTTCATTCTCCATGGCAAATTGCACCAAACTTGGGTCCTATGAATACATACAACCAAATAAACACACATAAAAAGAAAATCAACATATATACACGCCACGGATAAATCAGACCGATAATGCCAAATGATCAGCTTGTTGAATTACGCCTCATGTGGCCAGTAAAACACCCAGATTAAAATTAGAACAGAAAAAACAATCAGACTAGCATAATATGTCAAACTAATCAGTCATCCGGCCAAATATCCATATTATAATTCCATCATCACTAATTGATTACTTATTCTCGTGAAATCTAGTGCAGCAAAGGACGGCCACTCAAAGCATTGAAGCCACAACTTGGAAAGAAACCCGTGATTTTAAAAACCCCAAGAAAAATAAAAGTACAGAACCATATAAAGTTCAAGATAGGATCATATATAGTTCCTTGTGGCAAAAAATAAAATTTTACATCAAATCTCGAATTCACACAGGAGAAATACAGAGCAGCTGCTTTTTATGGGGGGTTTCTCAAAACAGAAGGCTTTCACGAACGGAATGCATCAGGTAGATAGATAGATAGATAGAGCTCTGTTTGTAAAGCGGGGTGAAGAATTCTTCCATAAAAGTTTTATGTAACTAACTTCTTGCTAAAAAGTACTCAATTTAAGATTTAAAGGCACACCCTGCAATACTGCAGCACTCTGCCACCACAATTACACCGTTGGGATAAACAGCAACAAATCCAAGCACAAGTCACATGCATATGCGTACTTGTTATTGCAAAATTCATAAAAGCTTTAAATCAACTGCTGTGGCTCTGAATGAAGGATTTCATAACTTCTATCTCCGGTCCAGTGATCATTTGAGAAGAATTTTCGTAGGGGTTCAAATTTAAAAACTTGTGAATGGATATCATATAGTTAAAATTTGCAGTTTCACTTTCGTGTAACCTAAATAATTAGAGTTAGCTCATTCTTCCACTGTGAATCCATTCCAAGTCTCCTTTTGCCCTATTAAATTACTCTGTATGAATCACGAATGTTTTACAGCGGATTGTTATAATTACAGTTTCACCTCGAATAATAATCCAACTGACACTAATAAGAAAAGCCACAATCGGACAAACTTCCAAAAACCCAACTCCCACAACACAAGATCTTGCTACAGTCACTTGTTGGGTTTTAAATAAAAAAAGGTGAAATAAAAGAGACTTGTACAGCTACATGCATTCCTTTTGTATTCATCCAATACCTCGAACCCCCAATAGCAACCTCTCTCTGATGATATCATCCGTTTATATGACAATCTTTCCACATTTTAAAAGAAAGGGAAAAAATATCATCCAATTATTTCGATTCTCCGTAATAATATCCAGTTACAATCAGAAACAAGGCAAACTTGGGCTCCGATTTTGTTCAATAATTTCAACACATCGGGCTATCATATTCAATCCCTTCCATAAATTAGAACACGAAAAGCTCAACACAAACCTGAATTTTCTTCAAACAAGAAGGTAAGCCGTAATAACTCAAGTTTTTAGCTTTGTTGAGACGGAATTGTAAATATTTGCTGCAATGACTAGCTGAGAAGCCAAAAACAGTGGAATATAAATTTGAGAGGGTGTATTTGTTTGGATTTGAAGGAAGTGTTCGATGGGAAAGAAGGAAAAGGCAGAGAGGGGAGAAAATTTTTTAAAATGCCCATTCAGATTTGTCTAGTCAGCCCACCTTTTATTTGTGATTTTTCACCTAGACTCTTCTCGGATGAGGATTTGAGATTTTATATTATTGGCTCATGTTGTTGGCTTATCTTAAGATGGACTTTTTTAAAAGTGACTTCTCAAGAAATGTTCAATATAAACTTATTTGAAACGGACTTTTTGTGGGAGTTACTTTTTTATAAGTCCATTTTATTATTGGCAAAAAGACACATCGACGTGTCATAACCACAGGCATGCCATATAAACGAGATCAAAGTTTTAAACCCACATTTACGGCCACATAAGATATATTAGACAAAATTCGATTCAACAACTGGAAGGGAAAGTGCGGTGCAATCATAATTCATTTCCCCCGAAATTGGCTCGCGCAATTGGCACGAAATATTGTTATTGGTTTTTTAATTACAAATTAGCTTGACTTCAACTGGTGGGTTCCTATATTTTTATTTCCATATTTATGTTATATTTATATGTAGTTTATTAGTTAAAATATTGTTAAAATTATCCAAAGTGAAACTCAGAAAATACAAAAAGTAAACATTAGATGGAACATGAGAAACTGATAGCGGCAATCATGAAAAATACTACTAAGTAATTCAAGAACAACAAAAAACAAACCAAAATATTGTTAATTAATTCAAACATTGACTACAAAAAAATCAGTTATTCATAATATAACCATCAATTTTTTTTAGAATTACAATATAGTTTAGAGATTCCATAAATGGACATAAACATGGAACATACCAAACATAAACATGTAACATACCTAACTAGTTAAATAATACAGATAAGAGGAAAAAGGAAAATTATATATGGTTTATTTTCAGTTTATATATAGTTTATTTTCAGTTTATATATGGTTTATTTTTAGTTTATTATAATAAACTAGTTAAACTAGTTTATTTTTAATTTATTATATAAGAAAAAATCCGTTTATTATACAAGAAAAAATTTCAATTTATTATTTTCAGTTTATATATGGTTTATTTTCAGTTTATTGTAGTTAAAAGAACAATTAATAATCATAATCTAACCATTAATAAACATCAATCTAACTCTCAAATGTTCAAAACACAAATATATTACATACCAATACACAAACCCTATTAAAACTCCTATATCGTTTCACTGCCTTAAGCATAGTCGGGCCCTTGAAAGATTGAAACTCGAACATGTACCTCCAGATCCAAAATCCCTACTCAAGCAGTCCAACTCAAATGCGACTTCCTTCACACTCGGCTTATATTGACGAGCACGCTAAGCACTTCTCGGCAAGATTTTCAACTTGCATCAGCACCTCAACCTCACCACACGCCTCCAAACGACTGTCCAAGATCCTTACCAAGTCGTCCCCTCGTCAATAGCTCCACTAGCACCACTGCAAACGATAGACGTCACCTTGTTCTGTCTGTATCTCATGGCTCAAACAGCCCACCGAGCCCGGTGAGTTTTGCATCTCTATTCTTCATGGACTGCTTTTTAATGTTCGTTTGTAAGTGACACTTGCACCGACTTCCTTGTAGAGCCTATTGTTGCAGTGTAATTGTTCGTGGTTGTCTGGATGTATCCACAAACTAGCCACAATATCAAGAATTATGAAGCCTGGATGGGTAATGAACAGAATGTTCAAACATATTATTTCTCCCATGTAATTTCACAATCTCTTTCAAATACCAAAGTAACTTGAGCATAAACTAAAAGTAAATCCCAGCAACTCATGGGCAATAATTTCAAAATCTCTATCAAATACCAAAGGAAAATTAAGCAAAAATTAAAAACAAATCCCAGCAACTCATAGATCTAAAAATATCAATCAATGAAACTTTCACAACTAAAAAATAAAATCAATTTATGCTAACCTTAAATTAGCAAAACCACAACTTTGATCACAAAGGCGGCAGACGGCGCCGATGGCGAGATGAAGAAGCCGACACACTCAACCCAGACCAGCCATTCTTCCATGAACTCCCGAACCCAGAACATCTGCCGTCATCCACTACCACCACGCCGGCGGCAAATTCAGTCTGTAAATTCGGCAGCAAATCCGAGTGTATATTTTTATTTATTGATCTATAAAATATTTATAGTATGAAACGCAGGAAGAAAAAAATGTATAAAAAAGAGAATATACAAAGTCGGTTGTGATATCAAAGAGGCTCAATCGACGCCTACGACGATTGAGATTGCTCTGGCGGATGAAGTATTTTTTAGCATGGCTTGCGACCTGTGTTGGCGTGCGACTGGGATCTAATGAGGTTGGAGTTAGGGTTTGAGGGAAGATGAGGGCAATTGATTTGAAAAGATTAGAGACAGGGAAAGTGGAATTAAATTTTTCATAATTTCGTACTTGTGACTTCATTAAGTCTAATGTGCGAAATATTTTTTAATCTCGTCGAATGGGCCAAATAAAAAGTTGGGCTCGTGCGTCAGGTAATTAGTTCTTTATTATTTACACCAAACATCTTTTTATGTAGGAAATGGACTTTTATAGTCAAAAGTCTATTACAAAAGTGATTCCAAACATACACTAGACTTGTAAACTTGTGACTTTTCAGTCCATGTAGAGTTTTTATATATACAGGTTGGGGTCCAGCCTTAACCCTACCCTTCTGAGGTGGAGTTTTTCTTTAAAAAAAAAAAAACTAACGTAGGCTTACACACGCTAAACCCACATTTAATTGTGAGTCGTATTTTACTCACTATCTACGAGTGTACATGTTTCTGGTGACGTGGGCGGGCTTCATGGGTATTCGGTGTTCAAGACTTTGGCGGTCGGGTAGCAGGCGACGCACTCGCGAGGCGATGAAGGCAGGACTCGCGAGTCGTCAATAGCTCTCAACCTGCGAGTTTTGCTCGACAGGTACGACATATACATACTCGCAGATTACAGGCTGTTGACTTGTTTGGAAGTGCAGGTATGACGTAGACATCCTCGCGGTTCATAAACTATATGTGGTTGGCGTGACTGGAAGAAGAGGAATGACGTAAGCAGTACTCACGGCTTGCAAACTACATGTGGTGGTTCGATTAAGCAGTGAAGATCAAGCACTAGCGGCGTGTGAAGGTCTTTGCATTTGATACGAAGTACGCGTGTCAGTCTTGACACAACCCAAAATCAGCAGACATAAACAATCTGAAAAGTTTTTTCTCATTCTCGGACTCGACATTTGACTCACCAAATTTAATGGTTCAATCGATACACACTCTTTCACTTTAAATTGATCTTCTATAGTTTTTCGACCTACAATTCAACAATGGACACAAACACATAACACAAAGATAGAGTATCATGACAAAAAATAACTAGCCTGAATAACACGATGATATAATATAACAAATAAAAACAACAAGTACGAACAAAATGGACCGAAAAACCCCAAACAGTTCAAATGAACTCGACTCGCTACGATAAAAATGTTAAATAATTGAAAAAAACCAACAAACATGATGCAATAGGCCAACTTGCAACAATTTTTTCATTTTTTTTTTTTTTGTANTTCTTTTTTTTTTTAATAAATAAAACTTAAATATGCCCAAACCATAAAAGAATTTTTATTTTTTTTTGTGAAATATAAAAACCAGTATATAAGAGTAAGTTAATAGAAATTGAATTTTTTTTTTTCTCAAACCAAAATCTAGAACTATGACACGATGAAGTATAATTTTAATACACAAGTTTAAAAAGGTAGATTAATATTTCAAGAGCCCAGCATATGTAGTTTGATGATATAATCATTGGACCAAAAAATTTATTATTAATATATACATAAGAAAATAGACATAGAGAAGGAACAAACAAGTCATTGAAATGTTTACAAAATACATAATTATTTCTAAATAAATATAGCTCGAAGTCCACTCCTTGAAACTAGTGATTACATAATATTTAGTTGAAAATTTTATTCTTGGAGATGTAAAATATGTTAGTTAGTTAATTCACATATATGATAATCACACAAAATAAAGAAATAAATAAATACCATTTACAACTATTATACATGATAGAGAGACATTTGTGGTATATATTGCATGTCACCATACACGTCCATCAAAACCATTAAGTCCTCTCAGTCCCTCCTCCATATCCATTTCTATAAATACACATTCTTAGTTTTAAACAACACAGAGAAATCATAAACAAGGTTTCATTAAACCCAAAGAAAAATTCAAAGGAAAAGGAATAAAAAATATGAGTCGCCTCTACACTTTTGTCTTGCCTTCACTCGTCATGAATCTCATTTTTTGTGCGCGATTATGCAATTCACGAAGAGTATTTTATGACCATATGCAACCTCTAAAATCAACTGAATTGGTCTCACCAAGTCATCTTTTTGCAAAAGCTTCTATCCTTGCCCCTGACAATTCTAGGTGCACCTTGGATAGCGGTCTTTCTGATTGTGAGAACAAAAATCCTCATTTTTCTCATCCTAATATCCTGAATGCGCATGATCTTGATCATTATCACATCGAGTTATCGAAAACTGCAGCACGAAACCCGCCTAATGATCCTTTGGAGAGGGGTCCTGTCCCTCCATCTGACTCTTCAGGTTGCACATACATTCCCGGTGGTGGAGGCCCAGACTGTAATTATGCGCCTCCGCGACATTACATCTCTGACACATATGGTCTTCAACTTGGTCATTAAACGAACTTGTTGAGTAATGGTTTGTTTATTTATGTAACAGAAGACAATGAATAATTATTTATTATTTATGTTTATTTTGTTAAAATAGACTGTATGGTGGTAAAATAGTACACGCAGCACAGACATAAATGCTATCTACTCCTCTACATTTTTTACTAGTATGAGATATCTCAATTCAAATTCCAGTTATATGACGTTTTTTTATCATATCTACAGAAGTTACAAAAAAAATATATATTATCTCTCTTGTTTATGTGAATTAATCAAACTGTGACTAAAGCTAAAACAAACATACAAAATATTTGAAAGGATAGAGAATGAAACCTAACAGATTATGAAAAATACCAACCAACTTTTTTAACAATAATAAAAACCACGTATTTTAGAATTTGTAGATTAATCAAGGGAATTTCCAAGGAAAAAATATTCTGGAACAAAATAGAAAACTATGAAACATGAGGGTAGTG